GCGCCCCACCCCCCCCCCCCCCCCCAGATAAACCCCAACCTGGTCCTTCAGAAACCCAGCAGAGTCCCATCGGTGTCCCCCCAATCCTACGCCCAGCACTGTCGCTCCCCTGACATCACTCCCAATACTGTACTGAATCCCTGTGCAGGGTCTGTGCTTGCATCCAGAGGCGACGTCACAGAATACTTTACAGATAAAAGCACAGATCACATGTGAAAAAACTGAATAATTGCACAAACACGGAATAAAGAACAAATGTGCAAATATTCGTTTTTTTTCTTCATTTGAGTCTATAAAGTATTGCAACCGTGACCAGTGGACTCTGCATGCAACGCTCAGGCTCCTGCAGGCCGTTCCTCCAGCCCCGTGTCTGTACGGATGTAGGGACCTTTGGTTATGGGACTGGATGTAACTTCACTGCACTTGTGCTCCACTGAGATCTACAAGTCTGCCTCTGGTAGGGTTGTAGTCTTTGCATTCACACAGGGTAGGGTGGTGGGGTTGTAGTCTTTGCATTCACACAGGGTGGGGTGCCAGGGTGGTGGGGTTGTAGTCTTTGCATTCACACAAGGTGGGGTGCCAGGGTGGTGGGGTTGTAGTCTTTGCATTCACACAGGGTGGGGTGCCAGGGTGGTGGGGTTGTAGTCTTTTCATTCACACATCCTTTGAATTAATCTGTGATGGAAAAAACACACAACTGTGGGAGCAGAGCCACACACACACACACACACACACACACTCGTACTGAAATGTAAACGAAAGACAGCAGGGAGAAGAACCCCGCAATTCAGGTGGGTGGGGAACTGTAGAACGTGTCCATGTTACACCCCAAATATGAATGGTCTTAAAGGTGAACTTAGCCTTCCATAGTTACAGGTCCTCTTACATTCCACACTTATTAATAAGCTTTCATTTCATTGGGTCGGCGCCGGGCAGCGACATAACTATGTTATATTCTAGGAATTTTTTGAACAGAAAAGTCTTCATGGCGCCACAAATCCCACATACTGTATATACTACACTGAGCACACAGTACAGAAGTGGACGGCCATCACAATGGGGATTCATCTGCCGCTAGTGAACATCAAACTATCCTCACAATAAAACCAACAATGACATTAATCTATTGGGAGACAGAAACTAAATGACGCCAAGAGATTGCAAGCTCACATGACAAGGTGTCTGGATACACAGGCGGCCCAATCACATGAGATTTCTATGTACAGTCTGGTCACTATCAGACAAGATAGAAGCATGCATTCTCATACACTGGAGGTTAGTGCAGGCTGTGGGGCAACTACAAGTCCCAGCATGTCCTGAACTGCTCCGGATAGTGGAAGGTGTTTGGGACATGTAGGTAAATAGCGGCACAGAGTGTTGAATTACAGTACACACTCTATGGTACTGGGGCTTATTTTCCAAACCAATATTGAACGATTTGGTGTGTTTTGGAAGGGTACAGTAATACCCTACTGCTATTAATACGGCCACTTTTAGGAGGTTAGGTTGTGGTAGAGTTAGTGAGATGGATGAGACCGTCCCATCCAGGGCAAAGCATCGTGTGGTGCTACATGAGACGGAGTAGGCCCTAAACCTGACACTTCCAAAATACAGTAAAACCATCTCTAGAAGAATGAAGGACAGCATCCGCCACCACAGCATTATGTCTAGTAATAAAGTACAGGTTCTCTTTAAATGAAGGGATAACAGGAAATACTTTTCAGAAGCTGTAGGATTATTAAACTACAACGGCTATGATGGAGAGACAATCCCCTTCTGGATGTAATCCATATATACGAGAGGAGAATGGTCCTTGGCATTCCCCAATAAGTGTCCCACTTAGGGCCTCTGATTGAGCCATTGACAGCGGTCACCAGAACTCCCAACAACACAATGGAGACTGATTGGCTGAGATGTGGGGATTGTGAACACGACAACATGTGCAGAGAGGTGGAGAAACACTAGATATTAAATCATTACACCGTGACTAGAACCACGCTCTATCCTATACAGCGGGAGTGTATAGACACGGACTCAAACCTCTTACCAATTTCTGTGTATTGTAACACTGCGGCCCGTGTTCTAGAAGTCATGGCCACCCGGTGTATCCCTAATATTGTTCTACAACTCCCCTGCTGGGCCGTGACTGGGGGGTGTGGTGACCGGTGTACAATGCCACGGCTAATGGTAGAACCATAAATGATGCACGAGGTTCCGCAAAGGACCTCTAATGGTTTCCACCACAGTTGGGTATCACCTTGTCCGATCTTTCTGACAAAAGAATAACTGCAGATGAAACATATTTCTCTATAGGGATAGACTTACCAGGATCCAGGCTGCCGGTCGCAGCAGTCCAGCCCATTATAGGCGGTATGGCACCCACCACAGAGCCCACCCAGGTGTTGGCGATACTCAGCCTCTTCATAGGAGTGTAGCAGCAGGTGTACAGGAAGATGTTGAAGGCACCCAGAGCCCCGGTCAGAGGATTAACGGCCAGAGTCAGTATGGAGATCCCCGGGATGGCGCACGCTGCAGCGAAGGACACTGCCAGAAGAGGACTGTGGAGGGAGAGAGAGAACATTACTTATTTCTTCACATAAGAGAACCTGTCATGTCACATGGAATAAAGAGGACATTCCACTTGTATTATATTATACACAATACATAAGTGCCAAAGCTGATGTCTAATATCCCACTACAGTCCCACGCTATTCATACTTATATTATAAATAACAATGTTATACATTTATATAGCACTGACATATTCCGTGGTGCTGTATAGGGAACACTGAGCCATTCACATCAGTCTCTGCACCAGAAGAGCTTACACTCCAATGTTCCCAACACAGCAGGGCTACAAGCTCCTGGACTACCACAAACATAATGATGTTGGAAGATGAATATCAATCTATACAT